CGCTGGGAGAAGGCCGACCTCTTCTTCGTCTACCCCAATCGAAGCCACTTCCTGCTGCCCTTTCACGTCCCGCCCCAGTACGCCTACTCCATCTACCCGAGGTACGGCCTCTGCTCCGGCGAGCTGCTCGGCTTCAAGGTGCAGGTGCCCTGCACGCCGCTGGAGGTGATCATCGCAGAGTACGGCGCCGAATGGCAAACTCCAGTGAGTAGCTGGAGCTACTACGAGGCTCCGAAGAACATCGGCCCGCTGCTTCCCTTTGCCTTTGCCAATGTGAGCCAGCACGAGAGCTTCAGTGAGTGAACAGTGAATTTGGTGTTTCGATTTCTTTGTTTCGAATTCTTCCGACTCCTGAGATTCTATCTGCCTGTGTTCCAAAATACCCAAATCCTCCTCTGCCGGCTTTAATTTCATCAAATTATATATTTTTATATATTAGTATAGTATATATCTTGTTCAGTATAATAATAATGTGTGTGTGTGTAGGTGTATTACAATTGCGCAATTGTTGTATGATAAATAAATAATTTTTTCNAATTTCTTTGTTTTTCTTCCTGCTCTTGAGATTCTATCTATCTGTGTTCCAAAATAATAAATCATCCTCCTCCTCCGCCGGCTTTAATTTCATCAAATTATATATTTTTATATATTAGTATATCTTGTTCAGTATAATAATAATGTGTGTGTGTAGGTGTATTACAATTGCGCAATTGTTGTATGATAAATAAATAATTTTTTCATTAAAATTAAAAAAGAAGAGAGAATGACAGAGGAGGCAGAGGAGAGAGAGGAGAGGAAGGGAAGAGAGCAAGAATAAAAGAGTAAGAATACATCATATAAGAGAGAGTGAGAGGGGCCAGTGCACAAAGAGAATTCAGTGCAGCACAAGAACGACGTAAACGAGAGAGCGAAAGAGAGCGGATGATAGAGTAGTAATCGGGCAATAGACTTACCGCTCAGTGGCGGAAGTAGAGAGTGTTGAGTTGAGATGAACAAGAAGTTTGAAGTGCTGTATGTTCTTGAACATTCCAACAGAGGAAGAGGAAGAATAATAATTGATTGATTGATTGATTTGAGAGAGGGCGGTTGGGTAGAAGTAGTTGTAGTACTGCTGCTGCTCGCGTATTCGTACTGCTAAATGGTAGGTGTTGTGGTCCTCCTCGTCCGGCCTCAGTCTGCGAGTTTTCAACATCTTGTCGTAATGCTTCGAGACAAGGAAAGAAGAAAGGGAGAGAGAGAAAGTGAGAGAGAGAGAGAGAGTTCACATCAAATCAAATAGGTGCTCTCAATAAATTGTGGGAAGGAGAGAGAGATGAGAAAGTAGAAACTGGAAAATCAGTAGTAGTGTTGAAGAGAGTGCTGAGAAAGAATGGGCATTTGTTTGCAAAGTTGAGGTGGCGGTAATCTTGCTTGAAGAGAGAGAAGAGGAAAGATGTGTGTGCTTGAAGTTGTCATTCAGATTGGAAGAGTAGTGTGTGGTGGTGGTGGTGGGTGGCTGGCTCTGCTTCTTTGTCGTCTCCTCGTTTTCTCGCTTTCTTTCTACTCGTCGCCATCAGTGTTCAGAAAGTCATATTTGTTCGAGGTGACGTAGCTCTAAAGGGGAGAAAGGGAAAAAGGTGAGAAAAAAGTTCAAAACAATCCCTCTCTTCAAATGGCACTCACCTTCGAGGTAATGTCCTTGTCATCGCCATCCGAAATGTATCGCTCGCGGTAGTGCTGATCATAGTCACGACCACTACCACCACCGCCACCACCTCCAGCTCGGTAGAACCGATCAGAGGGGCCGTCGTCTCGAGGGCCACCGCCTCCGTAGCGATTGCCACCTCCTCCACCTCCTTCACGTCGGTCGTAGCGAGGGGCACGCTCACCACCGCCGCCGCCTCCTCCATAGTAGGTGACATCGCCTCGAGGACGGTCACCGCCGCCGGGGACGTCACGTCTTCCGCGGAGGCCCCCACCGCCGACTCCGCCTCCTCCATCGACACGAGGTCGACGACGGTCGCCGCCGCCGGCATATCGATCGCNACCGCCGGGGCCGTCACGTCTTCCGCGGAGGCCCCCGCCACCGACTCCGCCTCCACCATCGACACGAGGTCCTCGACGACGGTCGCCGCCGCCGGCATATCGATCGCCATTTCGGTCATCAAATCGACGTCCTCCTCCGCCGGGGCCACGGCGATCGCCATCTCTGGGGCCGCCGCCGCCACCTTCGCCGTTCTCCTTGCGCATTCGAGGGGGCGGGGGCGCACCACCGTCACCTCGGGGCGGACCACCACGATGTGGGCGTGTCGACTCGCCCGCCTGACTGCCCGCCGGGGAGGTGCCGCCAGAGGCGTTCGAGCCGGGGGCTCCGCCTCCTCCAGCAGCAGCGGCCGCAGCCGCCGCCGCCGCCTCCCTCGCGGCGGCCTCCTTCTCCGCAGCGGCCGCGCGCTCCTTCGCCAGGCGCTCCTCAATCTCCTGTTCGCGCTTCAGCGTGTCCACCGGCTTCGCCCCGCCAAAGATGCTGCTGTAGGAGGCGGGCTTCTCCGCCTCGTCCTCGCCGCCGCCCAGCAGGCTGGCCAGCCGCTCGGGCCTCAGCTCCGGTGGGCGGGTCCGGCGAGGCGGCTGCTGCTGCTGCTGCTGGTGATCACCTTCACCGCCTCCGCCTCCTCTGACGGCCAGGTCGTCGCCGGGCACTGATCGTCCCGAGGTGGTGCGCTCTCGAGGCGGGCCAGCTGCGGCCGCCAATCGCATCGGCATCTGCTGCTGGTCGTAGTCTTCACCGGCGCTGGGGCGTCGCTGCGGCGCGCCGCCAAACGGATCCTCTCGTGGGCCTCGAGGCGCAGGAGGAGGTC